GGTCTGCCGTAACAAAAACCTTAAATGCAGAAGTAGTTTTATATTTTATTTATTTATTTAGGTTTTTTTTTTTTTTTTTTGAGACAGAGTCTCACTGTGTTGCCCGGGCTAGGCTGCCATGGTGTCAGCCTAGCTCACAGCAACCTCAAACTCCTGGGTTCAAGCGATCCTCCTGCCTCAGCCTCCCGAGTAGCTGGGACTACAAGCACGTGCCACCATGCCGGGCTAATTTTTTTCTATTTTTAGTTGTTTGGCTAATTTCTTTCTATTTATAGTAGAGATAGGGTCTTGCTCTTGCTCAGGCTGGTCTGAAACTCCTGAGCTCAAGCAATCCTCCAGCCTAGGCCTCCCAGAGTGCTAGGATTACAGGCGTTAGCCACCGCGCCTGGCTCAGAAGTAGTTTTAGAACTGAGAATTGGGCAGAAGCTGGAAGGACTTTGAAGAGAGTGTTAATAAAAAGAAGAGTCTGTTAACAGAAGTCTGATGGCCTTTGAAGAGGCTGCAGTGAGGGCTTAAAGAACAGTTAGGAAAATGCTATTGGAAACTGATAGAAAGGGGATCCTTATTGTATAGTGGCAGAAAGTTTAGCAACACTGTCTCATACAGTAATGTAGAAAGTACAAATTATACCTAATGAGCTATATTAGGTATATTTAGCTAGGTGGTCTGTCTGAGGAGATTTGCAGACAGAATGTTGAAGGTGACACCTGGTTTCTTGTTGCTTATAGTAAAATAGGAGAGGGTAAACTAAAGAAAAACACTGGGGGCTGGGCATAGTGGCTCATGCCTGTAATCCTAGCACTCTGGGAGGCTGAGGCAGGCAGGATTGCTCGAGGTCAGGAGTTCAAAACCAGCCTGAGCAAGAGCGAGATCCATTCACTTCTGAAATGTACCTAAAAAAAAAAAATAAAAAAAATAAAAAAAAAAAGAGCGAGATCCCGTCTCTACTATAAAAATAGAAAGAAATTAATTGGCCAACTAATATATATATAGAAAAAATTAGCAGGGCATGGTGGCACATGCCTGTAGTCCCAGGTACTCCAGAGGCTGAGGCAGCAGGATCGCTTGAGCCCAGGAGTTTGAGGTTGCTGTGAGCCAGGCTGACGCCATGGCACTCACTCTAGCCTGGGCAACAAAGTGAGACTCTGTCTCAAAAAAAAAAAAGAAAAAGAAAAACACTGGAACAAAAAGAGGCCAGAAATTGTTAGATTTGAAAATTTTCAGCCTTTCCAAATAAAAAACAATGTTTAACTTAACAAATGGTTTCCAGACAAAGATTAAATAAAGGACATTCTCAGGAAAACATGGTCTAAAGGTGAAGCTGAGGATGTGATTATACAGTCCTTTCTTAAAACCTCAGAAATGGCCGAGCACAGTGGCTCATGCCCATAAACCCAGCACTTTGGGAGGCACACTTGAGAGATCGCTTGAGGCCAGGAGTTCAAGACCAGCCTGGTCAATATAGTGAGACCCTGTTTCTACAAAAAATTGAAAAATCAGCTGGGCATGGTGGCGTGTGTCTGTCATCCTAGCTACTCAGGAGGCTGAGGCAGAAGGATCACTTCAGTCCAGAAGTTTGAGGCTACAGTGGGCTTTGATGACACCGCTACACTCCAGCCTGGGCAATAGAGTGAGACCCTGTATCTAAAAAAAAAAAAAAAAAAAAAAAGACCTCATTCAATTAAATAATAGCACTGAGAAGCTTTAGGGTACTGTCTTTCAGCACAAGCCCAAAGTAGAGTGCTTATCTTGCAGAGATTTGTGAGTGCAGCTTTTTTCTAACGAAGTGAACCCCAAGACTTGCAAGACACCCAATACGTTTTAAAGAGAATTGACAGAAATGCTGCCAGCTTGGACTGAAAGCGACAGAGCCAGTGCAAAAGGAGAAGAGGCCTTTGGACCCCCAAACTTCTCCAGGCCAGAAGCAGGCTGAGGAAACAATGGAGCTGCAAACATCCTTCATGGAAAAGGCAGGAAGACTTGGCAAGAGTCCAGAGCCTTGGAGAATCATGCCTGAACAGGAGCAGGCATCATCAAAGAGTTCCCAGCATTTGTCCAACTCGATTACAGAATTTCTGTGGACCAATGACTTCAGCGTGCCTCCTGTTTCTCCCCCTTTGGAACAAGAGTGTCCCTAGTGGTTATCCTATGCCTGTTCTGCCACGGTGTATTGCGTGTATGGAGGAGATAACTTGTCTTTTTAGTTCACAGGTCTTCAGATAGCAAATGTACTTAAGGAGCTGTAGTTAAGGAACTATCCCCAAGAGCCACATCCCCACCTAGACCTGATTTAGATGTCAAAAGTCTGTACTTGGAGCTGATGCTATGAGATAAGATTTTGGGGAATCTAGGGGGGGTGTATTTTGCACGTGGGAGGGGTATGAGTCAGTAGGGGGGCTAAAAGGGGCACTGTGGAGCCAGCCTCTAAGGCAGCCGGATGATTCTCGTCCCCTGGTACTCATTCCCTTGTGTCATCTCCTTCCACACTGGATAGGGCTGACAAAGCTAGGTCACAAAAGACAGTGAGGCCTCCATCTTGTTCTGTCTCGGATTGTGGAGAAGTCAGCCGCCATGTTATGAGGACACTCAAGCAATCCTGTGGAGAAGTCCAAATGGCAGGGGTTAGTTGTTTCCTGCCAGCAGCCAGCATGAACTTGACTTGCCAACCATATGGATAAGCTTTCTCAGAAACAGATCCTCCAGAGGCAGTCACGCCTTCAGATGCCCGCAGTCCTGCTTATGTCCTGACTACAACCTTATGAAAGTCACCTTGTCAGACCACGTGGCTATGCCACTCCTGAATTCCTGACCCACAGAAACTAAATTAATAAATATCATTAATTTAAGCTGCTATGTTTTGGGGCAATTTGTTACTCAGCAATAGATAATTAGTACACACTCCATACTTTCCCCCACTCATTTGTGGTGTCTTTTTAAAAATACCAGTTTTAGGCCGGGCGCGGTGGCTCACGCCTGTAATCCTAGCACTCTGGGAAGCCGAGGCGGGAGGATTGCTCAAGGTCAGGAGTTTGAAACCAGCCTGAGCAAGAGTGAGACCCCGTCTCTACTATAAATAGAAAGAAATTAATTGGCCAACTAATATATATAGAAAAAAATTAGGCCGGGCGTGGTGGCTCACGCCTGTAATCCTAGCACTTTGGGAGGCCGAGGCGGGCGGATTGCTAAAGGTCAGGAGTTCAAAACCAGCCTGAGCGAGACCCCGTCTCTACCAAAAATAGAAATAAATTAATTGACCAACTAAAAATATACATACAAAAAATTAGCCGGGCATGGTGGCGCATGCCTGTAGTCCCAGCAACTCGGGAGGCTGAGGCAGTAGGATCGCTGAGCCCCGGAGATTGAGGTTGCTGTGAGCCAGGCTGACGCCACGGCACTCACTCTAGCCTGGGCAACAAAGTGAGACTCTGTCTCAAAAAAAAAAAAGAAAAAGAAAAAAATTAGCCGGACATGGTGGTGCATGCCTGTAGTCCCAGCTACTTGGGAGGCTGAGGCAGCAGGATTGCTTGAGCTCAGGAGTGTGAGGTTGCTGTGAGCTAGGCTGATGCCAGGGCACTCACTCTAGCCTGGGCAACAAAGCGAGACTCTGTCTCAAAAAAAAAAACAAAAAAAAACCAGTTTTCATACATACACTGCTGTGTTTCTGAGCTCTCTTTTGTGTTCCGAGGGATTTTTGTTTTTTTTTCTGCACTGGAATCACACTGTTCTCACAATATGGATTTATGTTGTATCTTAATGTCTGGCAGCATGAGCCTCTCCTTTTTGCTCTTTTTAAAAATTGACCTGGGCTGGTCCGAAGGTAGTGAGTTATCTCACGTGATTGTTCACAGTCAGTTACAGATTGAACTCCTTGTTCTACTACTTTCCCCCCTCCTCACTACTGCACTTGACTAGTCTTAAAAAAAAAAAAAAAAAAAAATTGACCTGGCCAGGTGCGATGACTCATGCCTATAATCCTAGCACTCTGGGAGGCTGAGGCGGGAGGATCGCTCAAGGTCACGAGTTTGAAACCAGCCTGAGCAAGAGTGAGACCCTATCTCTACTAATAATAGAAAGAATTTAATTGGCCAACTAAAAATATATTTAAAAAATTAGCCCGGCATGGTGGCGCATGCCTATAGTTGCAGCTACTCAGGAGGCTGAGGCAGGAGAATCACTTGAGCCTAGGAGTTTGAGGTTGCTGTGAGCTAGGCTGATGCCATGGCACTCTAGCCCAGGCAACAGAGTGAGTCTCTGTCTTAAAAAAAAAAAAAAAGAAAGAAAGAAAAATTGACCTAAGTAATTGTAGACTTTTATTCTTCTGTAATTAAGAGTCTTAGGAGTTTAGAAAACAGTTCTCCAATTAGAATTGCACATTTAGTTTTCAAAGTTGGAGAGGTGAGAAAGGTTTTGGCATAAAGATTCTGAAAGACAGAGAAAGAAGCCATGTGTCTGCTTCTGATTCTTCCTCCAGCCTCATCCAACCCCACCAGGTTCATTCATTCAGCAAACATGCACTAGGCATCAGCTGAACAGTAGGCACTTACGTACTCTCTAAGGTGGGAAGAGACAGGCCATAAACAAATATAGAAAAAATTAGAAAATGACAGGAACTAAGTGCTGGGAATAAAATGAACCGAAGATATGAAAGAGGAGGCTGCTGTCGTTGGGATTCAGGAGGAGGACTGGCGCTAGGGAGGCACCAGCTGAGCTGAGCTGTGGTCCCAGCCCTGCAGACAGCCCATCAAAGCGTGTCCCAGGCAGGGGGAACAGCATAGGGCCAGAGTGGGCCCAAGCTGGATGTGTGAAGGAGTGAGGCATCGGTGGGTGAAGACCCGCATGCAAGGGGAGTGATAGAGATGAGCTCAGAGGAGTCAAAGTCTGTGGACCCCTGGGGAGTCTGGATTTTTCTCACAGGGGCAACCGCAGCGTTTGAAGGCTTTTAAGTGGGGGAGCCAGTGGCCTTTGCTTGTGCTATTAACCACCTTCCACTTCTTCCCCAGCAAAAAAGGGAGAACCTGTCCCCGCTGTGCCTCATCCCCACGGTGACATCTCCCCGGGAGGAGCAGCAGCTCCTGGCTAGCACCTCCAAGGTGAGGCCCCCAAGCCCTGCAGGGTGGAGGCTCACTGAGGGCCTCTCCCTGTAGCCTCACCCCCATCCTTCATCCTCTCTCCTCTGACAGCCCGTGGTGAAGCTCCTGCACAACCGCAGTAACAACAAGTACTCCTATACCAGGTGACCAGCAGGGGTGGGGGCGCGGGTGTGCACTGGATGGAGCCCTGGGATTGGTCACAGCCCTGCCCCTGCACAAGGGGAGGGCCCATAAGAACGCCTGCCGGGGCTGGGCCTGGTGGCTCACGCCTGTAATCCTAGCACTCTGGGAGGAGGATGGCTTGAGCTCAGGAGTGTGAGACCAGCCTGAGCAAGAGCGAGACCCCGTCTCTACTAAAAATAGAAAAATTAGCCAGATGTTGTGGTGCGTGCTTGTAGTCCCAGCTACTTGGGAGGCTGAGGTAGGAGGATTGCTTGAGCCCAGGAGTTTGAGGTTGCTGTGAGCTAGGCTAACGCCACAGCATTCTAGCTAGCTTGGGTGACAGAGTGAGACTGTCTCAAAAAAACCCAAAAAAACAAAAAATGCCTGCCTAATGCAAATTCCAGCTCTGCCACTTACCCTCTTGACACTCTGGGCAGGTCATTTCCATTTCTGAGCTTCAGCTTTATCATCAGTAAACTGGGGTTTGGTGAGGATGAAATGACAATGGCTAGTACTGTCCTAGTGCTTATTTTATAACATGCATTGCTGTAAGTGCTCTCTTTATGTTAACTGATGGAATCCTCCCAATTGTTTGAGGTAGATATTATTGTGAGCTCCATTTTACAGATGAGGAGATTGAGGCACCAAGAGGTGAAGTGACTTGCCTAGTGTCACCCAGTTAAAAGTGGTGGAGCTAGGATACCAGGCGCAGCAGCAACCTGGCTTCGGGGCTGACACAGGAGCCATTCTGCTGTGCTGGGTTTGCTCAGCAAATGCTGCCTCCCTTCTGAGGCCTATGTAGCCTGGCCCCAGGGGTGGAGGAAGCTCCCTGTTGGGCACTAAACCCCTAGCTAGGGCCAGAGTGCTGGGAGTCCGGGCCCCTATCTTGGGTCTGGGGAGTGGGGAGGAAGTTGGGGACAAGCCAGCCATGCTGAGGTCTCCTGGGCCCTGGTCCTCAGCACTTCAGATGACAACCTGCTTAAGAACATTGAGCTGTTTGACAAACTGGCCCTGCGCTTCCACGGGCGGCTGCTCTTCCTAAAGGATGTCCTAGGGGATGAGATCTGCTGCTGGTCTTTCTACGGGCAGGGCCGCAAAATCGCCGAGGTGTGCTGTACCTCCATTGTCTATGCTACGGAGAAGAAGCAGACCAAGGTCAGAAGGGGTCAGTGCCTGGTTGGGGAGGGCCAGGGGGTGATGGGCAGGGCCAGGACCCTGGAGAAAGGCAGCTCAGCAGGTCAGGCAGGGGGAAGAGTCCATCATTGGGAGTCAGGAGCCAGAATTATCGGGTCTTGGCTATGTGATGTTGGGCAAGCCACCCATTATGAATGGGTCTCCATTTCTCCACCTGTGAAATGAGGGTGTTGGCTTAGAACAGGGTGCTGAACATAGGCTGGTTGGATGGGTTTCAAGGCTATCTGCAATCCCCTGCAGTAGTGTTCAGGTTTTGGGGTGTGTACATATTTTCTGTACATAAGGTCCATAGTTGTTGTCATTAGGAACTCAGAAGGGTCCATTACCAAAAATAGATTCTTAAAACCTCAGGGCCAGGTGGTCTCTTAGTATACACTCTGAGCTGGTAGGTCCTAAGTCATTAACATGGCAATCATCAGTGAATATTTCCCAAGCACTACTGTGTGCTGAGTACCACACCAGGCTTAAACCAATGTGGATGAAACCCTTCCTCATATGGTCCCTTCTGAGCTTGATGTGAGGGACATGCCTCAGGTACACCACAGTCATTGCAAGTCACTAAGCACCCAGTGCTATTTCACACCTCTTACCTCTGCACACACTATTTCCTCTTCCTGGAATTCTTCCTCATCCGGCCTGCCTAGTGAACTTGGACTTATTCTTTAAGACCCAAACAAACATCACTTTGGGACACCTTCACGCATGAACTTTCAACCCAACAACCCCAGACAAAGTTGGTCACACTCCCTTCTTAGTTGAAGACAGTGTTTACTGTGGTATGTGAGTTCGGAGGAGGGGTTGCTCCAGCAGTGAGGTGTCTGCTCCTTGAGGCAATGTTGTATATTTTTCTTTCCTGTGTCACTAGCACTAACCAGCCTGGCCCTTGTCATAGGGGAAGCTAGGAAACATTTGTTGAATCATGAGTGAGTGAAATTTGAATGAGTGACCTAGCTTCTAAGAAGCTACCTCCGTGATTGGGAACATAGGAAGATAAACCAATAATTTTAATAAAGTGTGCTAAGAGCTATATTAGTTAGATCCTTCTAAGGCTACACAAGGGGAACACCACAGTCACCTCTTCGCCTTCATCCCTTTCTACACTGTCTCCATCATTCTGCCTCAGTTGCACTGGCTGCCTTACTGGTCTTCAAATGAGACACTAGGTGCACTCCTGACCCAGGGTTCTTGCACCTGCTGTTGCTTCTTCCCAGGTTGCTTTCTCTAGCTGGTTTCCTCCCTCCCCTCCTTTGGTTAAGTGTCATCTCAGTGAGGCCTTCCTTGAACTCCCTCTTTAAAGTTGTAACACTCCTGGCTCTGGCCACCTTGTCCCCTTTTCCTGTGTATCTTTTTCCATAACATCATCATCTAACTTAGTTTATATGTTATTAAGTGTATGTCTGAGGCTTCTCCCTGGAACTTAAACTTCCTGAATTAAAAATTCCTCCCTGGAATTTTTGTTCACTGCTATTTTCCCAATGCCTAGAACAACACTTGGTATAATACAGTCACTCAATAAATATTTGTCAAATGAAAAAGTATACCAAGAGACTGGGCAGGGAGGAGAGAAAAAAATAATTCTGCCTGCCTGACTTCTTAGCTGGACCTTGAAGTGTGACTTTGCTAAGAAGTGGCAGAGAAGATAGTCCAGGCCAAAGAACCTGATTGCCAAGCTAGGTAGTGTGTCAGTACAGGGCCTGCTGGGGTTGGGGATGGCCCTGTGTGACTGAACCAGAGGATAGGAGCTGGGAGTTGCTGGCCTTTTGCAGGTGGAATTCCCAGAGGCCCGGATCTTCGAGGAGACCCTGAACATCCTGATCTATGAGACTCCCCGGGGTCCAGACCCAGCCCTCCTGGAGGCCACAGGGGGTGCAGCCGGAGGTGGCGGGGTGGGCCGAGGGGAGGACGAAGAGAACCGAGAGCACCGTGTCCGCAGGATCCACGTCCGGCGCCACATCACCCACGACGAGCGTCCTCATGGCCAACAGATTGTCTTCAAGGACTGACCTTTGACTCTTCCCCTGCCTTCCTCCTGCCCTGGGACCCAGTTCCTGTCTGGCTTTCCTCCCCTTCCCGACCTTTGCCCCGGCTCTGCTGGCCAAGTCGCGGGTCTTCCTCCATCCCTTCGTTGCATGGTGCATTTCACTTGGCCCTTTTCCATTCATTCCCAGCTCTTGCTAACAACACGGTACATTCCAGCCCCTCTCTTAGTCATAGCCCTTCAGAAGGCCAACATTCATCCCCTCATCCCAATTCTTGTTTTGCCTTCCCTCACCAGCTGGTTTAGAGTGATTCAGAAGTTCCTTTCTCCTTTCTTAGTACACTGTCCGTGCCAAAGTGTCAAGCCTGCCATTAATACCATCCACCACACTCTCCTCCTCCCCACGCTGTCCTTACCTCCTTAACTTTGTACTAGGCTGGTCTGGGCCTGCACCAGCTCAGCTGTCTTCTCAGTCTGTTTCATATTATTTATTATTTTAATTTTCTATTAAATTATTGAAATAAAGTTGAATGGAGGGTCTAGTGGTGGCTCCTGGGGGGAGGGACAGGGAGTTGGCCTGTGTTAAGGAGGTACCTGGCTGGTTGTATGGGAGAAGACACGTGCCCCTGCCCCAAGCCTTTCCCTGGGGCTGGTAGCTGGAAAGGAAGTAGTCAGGAGTTATGTGAGGATTCCAAATGTATATTTCAGTGCTCATTGTCCAGTTGCCACCCTCAGCCCCTGCCCACCCGCTGCAGTGGAGAGGAGGTCCTGGCTGCCGCTCAAGCCGTCCCTGAGTGCAGCATCTCTCCAGCTCAGGTGTCAGAGGGAGCACCTAACATCAAGGGTCTGGTGCGAAGACAAAGTCAAGGGCCTGGCGCTCTGCCCCAGCCACGTTGGGGTGCCAGAGGTCCACGATGAAGACCACTCGAGGCCCATCTTCAGGGGAGCCTAGGGCACATGGGGATGGAAACAGCAGAGGGGCTGACATGAAGTACTTCTATGCCAGAGCACTCATCAAGTAAGTGCCAGGCCCTGTTCTAACCCTTTATATGTATTAACTCAAATCATCAAAACAAACTTGAGCTATTACCATGATTATTCTCATTTTATACAAAGTAAGCAAGGTTAAGTAACTTGCCCAGGTGCAAGAGGTAGGGCAGGAACTCAAGTGGTAATGCAGGCCCAGAGCCCTATGCTATTAACCACTTTACTCTACACCTACATTATCTTACTTAATCCTTGCAGCCACTTGTTAAAGAAGGTGGTTGCCCCACAGAGCACTGGAGAAATTATGTGACTTGTTCTAGGTCATGTAGCTGGAAAATGGTGCTAGGACAGGAAGTCAGTGGGGCCTGATTCTGAAGCCCACTAGTCTACCCCTTCTCCCATTAGTCCCTCATGCCCCCTGGCAGAATGGGTGTCCCATTACCATTATGAGCCACCGTGTGCAGAAAGGAGTCATCCACCAGTAGACAGTGCCCCTCAGCCCAGCACTGGGGCTCGCCACCGACCACCAGCTCACAGCCAAGGGGGATCCTCAGGCCTGTGGGAAGAAACCAGGGTGTCCAATGCTCCTCTCTCCATCCAAGGGGCCCTGATCAGTCGATTGGCAGTTCAAAGGACCTTAAAGGCCAGGTTTTGTGGTGGTCCGTCCTTTCTCTCTGGAAGGTGACCATGTGTAATTACAGTACAGTACTGGATGAGGGAAGTGCTAGGAGAGTGGGGAAATGCTGCTCTGGGAAGTGCAGTCCATTGTTTTAGCAAAAAAAGAAGGCATCTTGGAAGGAATGGCATCTCCTAGGCCTCCTGACAATTCATTAAATTCAAGAACCTACTGTATGCTAGGTGTGGTCTCCCCGAGGTGTGAGACTAAAGACTCCTTCCTGGCCCAAGGACCACATGGTTGAGTGCAGTGAGGCAACTGAGCAGCCAACTCAAATGATGGGGAATAGGAAGGCAGCCCAGAGGGGGTGTGAGTCCTGGGCCAAGAGGAGGTTTCCAGGAGGTGATGAGGGGAAAGTCATGCTAGGTTAAAAGCAAAACATGTGTGTGGCATCCGCCAGGATCAGCCAGGCCTTCACGATTTAGAGCATGGTGGGAGGGGTGGGGAGGAAGGATCTGGACGTGATCTTGAGGCCAGTGTGCCCCAAAGTGAAGGACACATCCAACTGGCAATGTAGGAGATGATTTGAGGTGAAACAAGGTTCATGGAAAATTGTTTCTAATTTCCATTTTCTTTTCAATCTTTAAAACATCAAAAAGAAAATCTCAGTTTGGTGCTACTATAACTTTGACACTCCCCTTGTTCCCTTTTTTTTTCCCTTTTTTTTCTTTTTTTTATTTTTAAATTTTTTTCTTTTTTTTTCTCCTAAAACTATGGTGTTCAAGCCTTGTTCCCTTTTAAATGAAGAAAATGTAGGCTTCAGTCATGGAAAACTAAAGTATTTAACTAGAATGGTTAAAGCTTTCTTTTTTTACATTTAAACTTGTTTGATGAGTACTTTCTATTTAGGGTAAGTAATACTGATGATGACTTACAGTTCTATAAAGATTGCTCTTAAATAAATAAAACAAAAGGTGTGGGGAAAGTCAACATGAAGAAGAATGGTACAGCTGGTAAATGACTATGGCAAAGCTAATGAAGATGGTCTGCAGATAACAGAGGCTCAGGAAATGCTGCTCTGGGCAACAGGGAGCCATGAAAGATTTCGGAGAAGAGAGGCATGATGAGAACACGGACAGCTCTGATGGCAGAGAAGATGGCCTGGAAGGGGGATCGTGGAGGCAAGGAGGTTGTCTGTAGGCAGCATCTACTTACCAAGATGGCATCTGACACGGGCATTGGTGGGCCCACATCGGCCCTCAAGCCGGGCTCCGGGCAGGAGGACAGAAAAGCCAGCATTGCCGAAGGTGTTGGCGCTCATAAAGCTCCGCAGCCCCCTCAGTGCCCTATAGGCCCCTGGGCACTGACGGCAGTTGCCGGGTTGGCACCGGCCTGCTTGGTACAGCAGGAGCTGGTAGCACCCAGGTGCCAGGGGTGGGGACCAGCCCCGAGGCAGAGGGGTAGTCCCTGAGAAGTCCCAGCTCACAGCCCTAAAGTCCCGCAAAATGGCAGGGAAGCTGCTCTCCAGGAGCTCCACATCATGCCGCTGGGCATCACGTGGCACAAAGGGAGAGGAAGGCAGATCTGGTAGGAAAAGCAGGCCTGGGCGCTGAATGCCCAGGACCCCTGGCCCTCCCCTGGGGCCTGGACCACCCTGCGCTGCCCGCCTCACCCTGCCCATCCCAGCCCAGGAGTAGCGCCTGGCATAGGCCCGAAGCCGACGGCTCACTAGGCCTTCTGTCCTGGATCCTTCCCCAGGTTCTCCAGAGCTCCTTAGACTTGGCCTGCCAGCCTCAGAGCACCCTCCAGGCCCACCTCCAGCCTGGCTCCCAGCCCCTAGAGCCTGCATGTCTTGGGAGCCCAGACGGTAGCAGTACCAGAGGAAAAGGGAAGTGAGGGCTCCAAGGAGTAAGGTAAGGGCCGAGGACGCCAGAGGCAGTGGCCATGGGAACATGATAGGTAGCGAGGCCTTAGCCAAGAGGCCTGGGGCATCTTCCAGACCCCAGTTCCCTTGACCCCCCAGCTCTCCACCAGGTCCTTCCATAGCTGCTCCTTGGATCCCCCCTGGGCTGTTTCCCTTCCACATCCCCACCCTCCGTCCTCTGTCTCCTTCTGAGGTCTCCGCTTCACTTTGTGTCTCCTTTCCCCTCCTTCATGTACCTCTGGCCCTCCTTTCCCTTTCTTTCCTTCTGTCCCTCCGCTCTCCTACCTCTCCTTTCCCTGTGCCCTTTCTCCTCTCCCTCTCCCTCTCTCTCTTCTCCTTCCTGCAGTCTCCCTCTGCCTTCCTCTCTCCACCCTCAGTCTCCCCCTCTGCTCTCTTTTCTCCTCCCTCCTCCCCCCTCCTTTCCGCTCTCTCCTTCTCCTCCCCGCTTTCTCCCAGCCTCCCTGGACAGCAATTCCTACCCCACCTGGACCCGCAGCCCCGGGAACCGCAGCCTGTCTTCCTCCGTGGTGGTTTCTCTCTCGCCTTCCTCCCTCCTGTCTCCTTGCCCTCACTTCTCACTCGACCCGACCTGCCGCTCCTGCCTCTCTCCCGTTCCCTCAGTCCTACTCGATCCTTCCGTGGCTCCCACTCACCCTGACGTCACTCCTTCCCGGAGCCCTCTCAGTTTAGCTACCCCCGACCCCTCCCAGTGGCAGCCGCAACTCAGCGGGGGGTGGGGAGGAGAGTCGTCTCTGGATTTGCCTCCCGCCCCCCCAGCCCACGGCGCCACGTGGGGCGCAGGGGCACTGTGCCAACCTCCAGCCGCCCCGCAATGCGAAAAGAAGGGGCGGGGCGGGGCCAAGAAAGGGGCGGGGCGAGCGCGCGGAATGACTGTCAGGGCCGGCGCTCGGGGACTGCGGGCAGGGACGCCAGGGCCTGTTGGCGGGTCTGCGAGTCCCTCGATCAGTGGACCTGTGACTCTCGCTCCCCCTAGGCCTTCACAGGAGCCAGCCCCAGGCAGGAGGCCGACGGATAGTGAAAGCGGCTTCGGCCAATCGCGGGCGGCGCGGGGCCGGGCCGGCTCCCGCGGCCCAAGGAGAGCTGTCCGCGCGCTGGTGGTGCTGAAAAAGAGCACTCCGGGGCGCTGGGAGGGAGACCGGGAAAGAAAATCAGAGCTGAGGCCGCCAACTAGCTGGCCGAAGTCACATTATATGTACGAGGAGAGGGTCTCCCCGCCAGACCCCAGCCCGTCACCCCTTAGACTCCTCACAAACGTGGACACTCGCCATTCTCCTGGGGCAGGGGAAAGCCCACTCTACCTGAGCCGCTGTAAAAGGCAAAGAGGAAAGCCCCATAGGGTGTCTGCATGTGGACAGGGGGCATATTGGGGGGCCGAGCAGACGGGAACAATCTGTGCCTCCCCTCGGCGCCCTGGCAAGGGGAGATTCAGATTCCAGATGTGCTGGAATGGTGGGGGAAGGGGGGGCCTAATTACTGCTGGGACCAGAGAGTTTCCTTTGCCTCCCATAGGGGCAGCGGATTGAGGATTACGGTCCTGGCTCATATGATCCCTCCTTCCTCCATCTGCACTTCCTCCATCTGCACTTCCTCCTCCTCCCTCCCGCTCAAATAAATCCCAGGCCCCTCCTTTCGCCCGTCCCCAGGATCTGACGTGGGCTAGACACCTTTCACAGCTTCTCCCTCCCGCAGCTCCAGTGCCCGAGCTTCGCTCTCCCGGTTCCCCAACCCCTTCCCCTCCCCGATAAGCCCCGCTAGAGCCCAGCAGGGACCCTCTCGATCCTCAACCCCACCCTAGGCCCCCCGGAAGCTGCCTTCCCTCTCCCCAGTCCCTTACCTTGGGATCCAGCCAGCCCAGTGGACCCAGGCCCCTGAGCAAGAGGATAACCCAGGCCACCCAGCCCCTTCGGCCCTCTGGGCCCCACCCCCTGCAGCCGGAGCCGCGCCCCCTCTACCACAGATTCAGGAGTAGAGGACAGAGGAGATTGAGCAAAGGGGGTGGGCTCCAGGCAACCCCTAGTCCAATTCTGCCCCTCCTTCCCAAGGGGCAGAGAAATTGTCTTCTTTTGCTGACCCTTAGCGGGGGGGGAAAAAAAAGAAAAAAAAAGAAAAGAAAAGAAAGATAAAAGGAGACGGAGGAAAGGTGGCCGCTAGATTATTTAGGACAGGCACAGAGGAAAGAAATCGGTGTGAGTCGCCATGGGGACTCCCAGGGCCCAGCACCGGCCGCCTCCCCAGCTGCTGTTCCTAATTCTGCTGAGCTGTCCCTGGATTCAGGGTAAGGACATGAGAGTGTGGGGGTGGGCCCTGAGAAGGCCCGCAGCGGGGTCCTCTATCCTCCTTTCTCCTAACATCCTGGGTCTTCCAAGCTCATGGAGGAGGGGAGGGGCACAGCTGTTGGGGAAGGGGCAAGCCAGGGCTTTCCAGCTCGAACCTGAAGCCTCTTAACCTCCAATATTGAGGAGGTGGGGAAATGAATGAGGGGAGCTTCTAGCAGCATCTCAGGGGTTAAATCCAGATAGGAGGGATAGGAAAGTTGGGGGGGATGTCTGCGGAGGTGGCAGAAGCACGCAGGGTACCTGGGTGGGAGAAGGAGGTACTGGGAGAGATGCCAGGCACCGCACACACAAATGTTCTTGGACATATGGACAAAGACAGATGAACAGAGGCAGGGCTCAGAGGCCAGATATTCAGTCCCCCACTCTGACCCCCAGCCAGACTCCGGGAAAGGAGGCAGAGCCTGCAGAGAATGAGAGAGAGAAGGGGGGAGAGAGAGAGAGAGAGAGAGAGAGAGAAAGGGAGAAAGACAGCCACGCTGCAGAGACAGAAACCCAGAGAGAAAGCTGGGCACTGCAGAAGCAAGGGCTGGGAGGTGCTGCCAGACCCTCTGCAGAGCCCCGGGGTTGGGGGAAGATCACCACTGAGGTGAAAAGGAAAGCAGCGCGGATGCCTCCCTCTGCTCTGCTGGCACTGTCCAAGGTTTATAACAGCTGAGATGCTCACTGAAGGCCCACACAACCAGGGGTGGGAAGAGGAGTAGGAGTGTGAGGGGCAGCTGGGAGGCCCTCCCCTGATCTTGGCTGTCAGCCCAGCCTTGGACCCTCTGAGCCCCCACAGGCCCAGCTGATGAGGGAGGGAAGAAGAGCTCTGGAAAAGAGCTCTCCGGAGAAGAAAGGGATGTGGAGAAGTGGAAAGGCTCACACAACTTCACCTCCTAGGTCTGCCCCTGAAGGAGGAGGAGACACTGCCGGAGCCTGGAAGTGAGACCCCCACCGTAGCCTCCGAGGCCCTGGCTGAACTGCTCCATGGGGCCTTGCTGAGGAGGGGCCCGGAGGAGATGGGCTATCTGCCGGGTGAGGCTCCTGGAGTGGCAGCAGTGGCCTTGAGGCAGAGGGAGGGACATTGGCTCAGGGAGATGGGGGGCCTGGCTAGGGAGCAAGCGAAGCAAGCAGACAGAGGCTGCAGAGTGGCAAGCACCCCCAGCAGGCCAGCGAGACTCTGGAGGGAGGCAGAATGAGGCAGTTGCAGAAGGAGTGAAACCTGGGCATAGTCAGAACCAGAGAAATAGAAACAGAATGATTAAGAGACAATCAGACAGAAAAACAGACACACAGAGAGAAAGACAGAAACTGAGAGAACCAGAGTCAGAGAAATGGTGGGAGAAAGAAGGAGAGAGAATGAAATACAAAAACTAGTCAATCCAGAATCATAAAATCATAGAGCAATGAGAATACAACCAGTGAAACGAAGAGTTCTAGAGAGAGTGAGACCAAGGAGACAGAAAGGTAACCAGGAGAGGTTTGAATGGGGAGGCAGAGAGAAGGGCTCAAGGAGAGCATTGGGGTGGAAGGGCCTGGGTGGGGAGGTGGGGGGAAGAAAAGGGGGTCAGTCCGTCCAAACCTTGGGAGGTAGTGGGAGTTTGGGTGGGATAGGGAAAGCTGGGGAACCTGTACCTTGTCAGGGAGGCCTTTGGGGTTCAGTAGGAGAACTCCCAGTTCCCCTGAGCCCTGTTCCCCACCCAAGGCCACCATGTGCTCCTCCTGTGCCCTGACTTCCCTTGCACTGTCCCAGGACTCGATCCAGACCCCACGCTAGCCACCCCTCCAGCGGGCCAGACTCTCGCAGCGCCCTCCCTGCCTCGGGCCACTGAACCAGGGACAGGGCCGCTGACAACAGCCGTAACCCCTAAGGAGGTCAGGGGGGCAGGCCCCACCGCGCCAGAGCTGCTGACTCCGCCCCCAGGAACCACGGCCCCGCCCCCGCCCGGCCCCGCCTCCCCGGGCCCGCCCCTCGGGCCTGAGGGAGGAGAGGAGGAGACCACGACCACCATCATCACCACGACCACTGTCACCACTACGGTGACCAGCCCAGGTGAGGCATTGGCAAGGGGATGGGGGTCGTGTCCAGGACCACAGACGTGGGAGAGGAGGACGCTGAGCGTGGGCGGGAGAGAGGCTGCTGGGAACTGTGGAAGAGGGAGTCCTAGGTACAGACGGGAGGGGTTTCTGCTTGATAATAACAAAGGCAAGCGTTTACACAGCCTTACTGTACCAGGCACCGTCCCGGGTGTTGCAGCGACATTATGGTTGGGGAAGGCAATTCTGGGTACAGGTGGAAGAGGGAGCATTGGATAAGGATGGTGAGAGATGCTCAAGAGAAGGCAGATGAGGACCTCCAGAGTCACTTGGCCGGGAGGGCAGGAGCACAGGGGTTCCCTCAATCCCAGCCACTTATATCTCTTTAGTTCTGTGTAATAACAACATCTCCGAGGGCGAAGGGTATGTGGAGTCTCCGGCTTTGAGCACCACCAGCCGCACCTTGGGGCTCCTGGACTGCACTTACAGCATCCACGTCTACCCTGGCTATGGCATCGAGATCCAGGTAACTGGACCTAAGCATGTGACTGTGAAACTTCCAAGCCTTTTCCTCTGGGCCTGTGGGGTGTGCACAGGTTTGGCCTGGGAGCCCGAGAACCTGTGTTATGACTCAGATGACCTTAAAAACTCTTCCCGAGGTCTACAGCGTGGGCACCATCGCTGTGGCATTTGGGCTGCCACACACAGGGAAAAGCAGGAGGTGGGGGGCTTACCCCCCTGGCTGACTTGCCCTGGTGGGTCTGTGTCTGGCTTCTCTAGGTGCAGACTCTGAACCTGTCCCAGGAGGAGGAACTCCTGGTGCTGGCTGGTGGCGGGTCCCCAGGCCTGGCCCCCCGACTCCTAGCCAACTCCTCCATGCTGGGAGAAGGACAGGTCCTTCGAAGCCCAACCAACCGGCTGCTTCTGCACTTCCAGAGTCCCCGGGTCCCACGGGGCGGTGGCTTCAGGATCCACTATCAGGGTGAGGAGTCTAAGGGCACTGGTGGAAGGGCAGGGGCCGCATTGGTCACAAGGAATGTCTCCAGGAGCCTTCCATGCACAGGGTGCTGATGGGGGCTTTTCCTCCTGACTGGGGCCCTGAGGTGCAGGACCCTCGGAGGAAACTCATGCAACACTTAACTCACAGATCTGTGTCTGTGTGCACATGTCCAAGTGGCAATTCAACCATTCAACTCAACAAATGTTTATCAAGTGCCTACTTCATACGAGGGCCTGTGTTAGCCTTGGGAGAGGAATGAACAAGCCTGGTGTAAATGTGACTTCAAAGAACTCAGACTCTAGGTAGGGAAACAGACAAATAATCAGGATGGTTACAATTCAACGAGATAAGTGTTATGATGGAGGAAACACAGGCAGAGGGAGCAAATATCAAGGGGACTCAAATTCTTCCAAGGAATATGGGGACACCTTCTTGAAGGAGGTAATGACTAAGCTGAGACCTAAAAGATGAGTTATCCAGGTCCACCCCGCAGGCCTGAGGGAGGAGACCATGACCACCATCATCACCATGACAACTGACACCACTACTGGTGGTGGGAGGGGAAGGAAGAGGAGGAGAAAGGCAGATGTCTAGATGGATGGGAAAGCACACTCCAAGACCCAGAGAGAAAGTGTGACCCCCAGAGGAGAAATAATGCAGCATGGAAGATAGAATTGCCCTAGCTGTGTGACCTGGGACAAGTTACTTAACCTTTCTGTGCCTCATGGTCTTATCTGAAAAATAGAAATCATAATACTTACCTTATAGTATTATTAGAAGGATCAAATGAGATAATACATGTCAAGACTTAAAACAGTGTCTGGTACACAGTGAGAGCTCCTAACTGGCAGCCATTGCTGTCACAGTCGAAGCACAGACAGTGGTGGGGGAAAAGTGGGCTGAGGAACCAGGCTGGGAGGCAGGTTGGATTCAGAGCATAAAAAGCCTTATCAGCTTCACTGAAGAGTTCAGACTACTTTAACCTGCAGGTGACAGGGAGACACTTGGAATGTTTTAAGCAGGAAAGTGACAGCCTTGGATTTGCAACTTGGAAAGATCTTTCTGACTTCTGGGGGCAGGGAAGGGGGATGTATCGGTGCATGGCTGCATTTGTGAGCATCCACCCACATGACGTACGCAGGTGCACAGTGCAAGCGTATGTTCTAGCATGCATGTGTACACTAGGCAAGGGGCCCAGCTCATGTCTGTGTAACGGACACTGCTGTCTTTTTCTTTTCTTTTTTTTTTTTTTGAGACAGAGTCTCGCTTTGTTGTCCAGGCTAGAGTGAGTGCCATGGCATCAGCCTAGCTCACAGCAACCTCAAACTCCTGGGCTCAAACGATCCTTCTGCCTCAGCCTCCCGAGTAGCTGGGACTATAGGCATGTGCCTCCATGCCCGGCTAATTTTTTCTATATATTAGTTGGCCGATTAATTTCTTTGTATTTGTAGTAGAGATGGGGTCTCGCTCTTGCTCAGGCTGGTTTTGAATTCCTGACCTAGAGCAATCTTCCTGCCTCGGCCTTCCAGAGTGCTAGGATTACAGGCGTGAGCCACCGCGCCCGGCCAACACTGCTGCCTTTTCCAAGGCCCTTCCCGTGCTCCTCAGAAACAGACAGGGAACTGTGTGCGGGCCAGTGCCCCCTTCACACCAGCTCAGGGTCTGGGTTCAGGTGCCCTGCCCTCCTTGTGAGACCTGCTGATGCCAGACAACTTGTGCACCCATTCAGGACACAACCCACGTCCGCTCCGGCCTCTCCCAAGGTCTCTGCTTGAGGACCGCTCCAAGGGCTCCTGTGTGCACAGTAGAGGCACCTATTCGTGGTGGGACCAGTGAGCTGGGGGACATGTGCTTGGTGTTTGGGGCCTGCTTGCTGGGGAGGGAGAACATGTCATGAGGATATTATAAAATAGCTTCAGATATTACAAAATGGCTCCCCACTGGTTCCTTAAGCAGTCACTTCCCCAGGGCATTGAAAATAGGACTCTTTAGGCTAAGTGGAACATTTGGGGAAGCAGGGCTACTGCATAAATTGGCCTTCTTTACTTGCCTCAGTCTTTCCTGCTTTGCCGTTGCTGCAGGCACCTTTGGGACAGAGGCTTTGTTTAAGCCCTTCCCAGCCTGCACCAGCTGGGGCCTCTGGTCCATGGTGGCCTCATTAACTTCTCTGAAAGGCCAAAGGTGCCATCACCCCTCGCCCCAAATACAGCAAGCTTTCCCACTTACGAAGCCCTTTCACCAGCCACTGTCTCAGTTGTTTCTCACAGCAGCCCTGGGAGTGGCCACTGTCAGTTCCATCTCAGAGGAAGGAAAAGACTCAAAGGTTATGTGAATTGCTCAGCCTCCTGCAGATTTATTGCAGAATCAGAAACCAGATTCCTAAGTCCATGATTCCCAGTTATTGATTAATTAAAGCTGAGGGGCGGGTGATTAACATTTTCTGAACACTTCTATGTGCCAGATGTTTTGTGTGTTTCTTTTATTTAACTTTCAGGCCAGTCCTCACTGATAGGAAACGTTATTGCCATTAACAGGGGAGAGGCCCCTAGATATGAAGTCACCTGCTCAAAGTCATGTAGCTAAAAAGTTGTGGAGCTAGAACTGGAACTCATGGCTGCCAGTCTCCAAATCCAGTGCTCTTTGCACTGTTCCACACTGCCTCTAGGCTAGGCTTTTAGGGGACAAAATAAATAAGGCATGTTCCAGTCTCATAGTAGCAAAAGACAGTGGTTAGTATGATGACAAAGTTATGCATGCAGGATTGTGTATTGGTAACAGAGCAGTTAACTCTTGGAGAGGGGAGTGGTGAGGAAGGCTTCCCAGAAGAGGCAGCACTTTAGTTACTCCTCTGAAGATGAGAAAGTGCCAAGAGGACCTTCTAGATAGGGGCAAGGGCATGAGCAAAAATATGGAGGTTAGGCCGGGCGTGGTGGCTCATGCCTGTAATCCTAGCACTATCTGGGAGGCCAAGGCGGGCGGATTGCTCAAGGTCAGGAGTTCAAAACCAGCCTGAGCGAGACCCTGTCTCTACTAAAAAGAGAAAGAAATTAATTGACCAACTAAAAATATATATACAAAAAATTAGCCAGGCATGGTGGCACGTGCCTGTAGTCCCAGCTACTTGAGAGGCTGAGGCAGTAGGATCGCTTGAGCCCAGGAGATTGAGGTTGCTGTGAGCTAGGCTGATGCCACGGTACTCACTCTAGCCTGGGCAACAAAGTGAGACTCTGTCTCAAAAAAAAAAAAAAAATATGGAGGTTGGACCTCACAAAAGTCACAAAATCACAGAAGTGTGTGTAGGATATCTGGGTTTTAGGTGCTGAACACTGAAGCTGGAAGTGCTGGGCTGGACCCAACTGTGCGAGGGCTTGACTGTCAATCTAAAGCATTCAGACTTGATTCTGTTGGCCATGAAGAGCCATCGCAGAGGGTAACATTTATTGAAATGACTGTGTTCTAGAAGGTTGTTTTTGTGTCCGTCAATCTCAGGAGACTATGGATTTCTGAAGGGCAAGGCCTGGGTCTTTTTCATCTCTCTGTCCCCAGGGCCCAGGCAAGGGAATGCTTGTTGGATTTTGAAATAGGGAGGGACTGGGTCTCTTACAGAATCACTGAGGGCTTGAGAATCAGGCAAAGCAAAGGCCCAGGCAAGCTAGTATCTCGGAAGCCCTCTGCCAACCGGAGCCTGCCTCTCCTACAAGACAGCTTTGGCTACTTCCTCCAGGAGGCCTTTCTAAACGAGTTCTGCCCAGTGCTGAAACGTAGGCACACAGAGTTCTGTCAGGATCAAGTTTGGAGCCCATCATGTACTAATAAGGGAATTTCTATTTATTTGTTTTATCCCATCTGCTTCTATAATAATTTCAGGAGGCTTTCAAAAAGAATGCAAGCAATACTATTATATAGAATAAGTAAGCAAAATGGCTGGGCCTGGTGGCTCACACTTATAATCCCAGCACTTGGGAGGCTGAGGATCATTTGAGGCCAGGAATTTGAGACTAACCTGGGCAACATGGTGAGATGCTGTCTTTACAAAATGGCCAGACTTGGTGGCACATGCCTGTAGTCCTAGCTATCCAGTGGCTGAAATAGGAAGATCTCTGGAGCCCAGGAGTTTGAAGCTGCAGTGAGCTATGATCCTGCCACTGTACTCCAGCCTGGGTGACAGAGAAAGACCCTGTCTCTTAAAAAAAAAAAAAAAAAAAACAAAAAGGCACCAGGTATAGCTTATCAGAGTTGAAAAAATAGAATGTAGATGGGCAGGCCATTGTCGCTAGGGACAATCTTGAATCTGGTTCCAAGCTTCCTAGTAGCCAGTGCAAAAAGGGAAATTACACAGTTCTCACTGCAAAAAAAGGAGAAGATAAACCAGTTCTTCAGGAAGAGCAAAGCTTTCCCTAGTTCGTTCACTGTCACTGGGGGATTTGTTTAGGGGGCACTGAATATTAAGATCTTTAATGACAAAATAGTCAAAGTTCCTCAAGAAGTTTCATGTGATTCATGGATGAAAGTTGATGGAATATAATACCACCGTGTGCCTCCGTGGAAGGAAGTGTGGTGTGTGTGTGTGTGTGTGCGTGTGTGTGTGCGTGTGTGTGCATGTGTGTGTGTGTGTAGAGGAGAAAGTGCTCCCAGGCACTTGATAACATGGTGCCTTGGTTTCTACATGTAGAAGAAAATGGGCCACATGGTCTTTCTATGCCCACCTCAAAAGCACTGTGGTAACTCACTTTGGAAGTTGAACAAGCTCTATAAATACTACTTATTCTCATTAGAGCTGGGCAGAGTTCAGGGTAGTTGATTGACTTGCCTGAGGTCACACAGCAAAAGAGTACCAGGATCCAAAATGACTTCTCTGAGCCTCAGGTACCTCATCTATAAAATGGGGGCCAAAGTGGGTAAATTACAAAGATTAAGGAAGACTGGGGATACTGGAATGACCTCTTGATGAGACCGTGCGCCTGTGTGCGGGGCTCTAATTCTTCAGTGTGCACTCCAGTGCAGAGCCAGTCCGTGCCCTGAGGCGGGAGGAAGCACGGGGGATGGCATGAGAGGGTGGCATGGGGAAATGAGTCCGTCCTCATTCTCCTGTCTCTGCCTGGTCCAGCCTACCTCCTGAGCTGTGGCTTCCCTCCCCGGCCGGCCCATGGGGATGTGAGTGTGACAGACCTGCACCCTGGCGGCACTGCCACCTTCCACTGTGATTCAGGCTACCAGCTCCAGGGTGAGGAGACCCTCATCTGCCTCAATGGTACCCGGCCAGCCTGGAACGGTGAAACTCCCAGCTGCCTGGGTGAGTCTCCTGCCATGATGGGTGGGGGCTTCTGTGTTGGGCACCCCGCTGAGAGGGCCCTATCCTGCGCTGTCCATCTGGAGCTCCTTACACTGAGGGTCTCTATCCTTGGCGAGCCTCCATCCTTGGGTGGTCTCCATCTTGGGATATCCCACTGGAGGTTTCCATCTGGGGAGTCACCCTTTTGGAGGTCCCTTCTTTTGGAGAAGGAAACTATACTTAGGGTCCATATCTGAAGGGTCTCTATTCTGCAGCATCTTGCTCTGGGGGCTCCCCTAGCCCATGGAATCTTCATTCTGGGAATTTCCATCTCAAAGATTTTCCATCTGAAGGTTTTAATTTGGGGGATCCCTGTAACTCCCCCATCCCAGGGTATGCACATCTGGGAGGGTCTCCATTTTAGCCCAATCTCCACGCTGGGAGGGTGTCCATCCTGCGATTTTTTCTGTTCCAAGGCTGGTTCCCCTCCTGGGTAGTGCCCTGAGGAGGTCCTGTCCTCTGGGGTGAGCCCATGGGGCAGAGGCCATCCCTGGGCCAGGTCCGAGCCAAAGGTGAGGATTCGACAGCTCTCAAGATGGGCCTGAGAATGGCTGAGGCCCCAAAGAGAAGGACAAGTCATCTCAGGCTGGCCTCAACTTGTCCCTTCTCTGCCCACAGCATCCTGTGGTGGCACCATCCACAATGCCACACTGGGCCGCATCGTGTCCCCTGAGCCTGGGGGAGCTGCAGGGCCCAACCTCACCTGCCGCTGGGTCATTGAAGCAGCTGAGGGACGCCGGTTGCACCTGCACTTTGAGAGGGTCTCACTGGATGAAGACAATGACCGGTGAGGGTCTGGGCCTTGGGTCAGAGCTTCCTACCTTCCCCTCGGGGAACTAGGGAGGCTGAAGTGGGGAGTCAGACAGATTCAGGGTGGATCCTGGCTGGGATATGTGCCAGTCTAGTCCTGATCTTTCTTAGGGAGTATAGCTGTGCAACCTTACACAAATCACTTAACCTTTCTGTGCCTCAGTTTCCTCATCTGTGAAATGAAGATAATAGTACTTCCCTCTTAAGATTTCTGTGAGGATAAATGCACTAAGTTATGTAAAGTACTTAGACTAGTGCCTAAGCTAATAGGCACTATAAAAGTGCCTGCCATCTTCATTGTCATTATCATTCCTTATCTACCAACCTGGCATCCCAGCTCTGCCCCTGCTCGCTCTGTGACCTTGGGCAGGCTACTTAATCTTTCTATGCCCTAATATACTCATCCATAAAATGAGGGAATAGTAATAGTATTTGACTCAAGAATTCTTGTGAAAATTAAATGAGATAAAATGTGTAAGGGCTGGGAAAAATGCGTGGCATGTAGTTAATGTTGAATACTAATAGCTATATAAAAATAAATTAGGGCTGGGTGCGGTGGCTCATGCCTGTAATCCTAGCACTCTGGGAGGCCAAAGTAGGAGGATCCCTTGAGCCCAGGGATCTGAGGCTGCAGTGAGCTGTTACAACATCACTGTACTCTACCTGGGGCAACAGAGCGAGACTCTGTATAAAAAAAAAAAAGTTAGGAGAGCAAGCAAGGGGTCAGGTAGCTTCGAAGGGAAAATCAAGCTCCTGGCCACCTCTGTCTATCCCAGGCTGATGGTGCGCTCAGGGGGCAGTCCCCTATCCCCCGTGATCTACGACTCAGACATGGATGACGTCCCAGAGCGGGGTCTCATCAGTGACGCCCAGTCCCTCTATGTGGAGCTGCTCTCAGAGACACCCGCCAATCCCTTGCTGCTGAGCCTCCGATTTGAAGGTAACTGTCCTGCTCCCTCGCCAGGCCCCCACCCCTGCACCTTCCCCTCTCCCTGACACCAGGCACAGTCATGACACATGCTCCATGCTGGCTCCTCTCCGGGTTTGGATCCCTGAGACCCGATTTTCCTCCCTGCCCCAAAACTACAAGTATCCTTCATATGGATCCCTTCTCCCTCCCCGAGGTTGCCTTTTCTGTTCAAGCTTCAAGTTTGGCTGGATGCAAGCACACAGCCAAGAGACCAGTTCCTTCAATCTCTCACTTCTTTCCTCCACGTTGGCTTCATTCTCGGGCAGGCTTTCCCCGGGCGATGGCCTCACTGCAGACTTACACACCACCAACTTAGTAACTCCATCACAGAGAGTGAGCACTCATATTTTCCCTGAGAGCTTCAGCAAAACGCCAGGAAAGGCTGTCGGCATTGACCTGGCTAGGTCCTGTGCCTTTGTCTGAGCCAATCGCTGTAGTTAGGCGCTGGTGGTCTTATGATTGGCAGATCTGCATCATGTGACCATCCCTGGTTGACCCCAACTGAAACTCATGGAGTGGGAGTAGGGAAGGCACATTTCCCAAAATAATAGTAGGGGTGCTGTTACCAAAAGAAGGGGGAATGGATGCTGGACAAGTAGAAACAAGGTCAGTGATCAAGGGAGAAGAGGCATTTGAGCTTGGTCTTAAAGCTGCAGTCCTCAACCCCCTGGGGCACAGCCTATTAGTGACCGGACACAGAGCTCTGCAACCCCCCCCCACTATCCCCCCCACTTCCCTTGTCCATGGAAAAATTCTCTCACAAATCTTAGGAATGGGGGAGGGGCGGGGGGCCACACAGCAGGAGGTGAGTACATTGGGCAAGGCAGTGAAGCTTCACCTGTATTTATAGCCACCTCCCATGGCTGGAGGGGCTAGTTTCTGGTATGAATCCTGGGAGAAATGGAATTGGCACTGGGCCCTGATGGATGGGTAGGATTTGGACATGATACCTTATAGGTTAAGTAACAGTGAACTAGAACCGTGGATCTGCAAAAATCAATTCCATGCTTGATTCTGAGAGTGTTAAAGTGCAAAGAGCACTGGCCTGTTAGTGAGAATTCCTACTTTCGAGGCCTCCGTACTTGTGGCCACTGCTGCTCTGTGAGTTTCAGGTTCTTTATCTGTATCATAAACACCTAAGTCCTAATTCACAGTAGTTTTGCAGCCGAAATGTGATCATGTGGGCAGAAACTAAAATGCTCTACAAATGTTCATTTTTTGCTGACTTAGTCTGAAGTAAAATCTGAGTAGCTTTGGCATGAGCTGCAATTTTGGATTCTAGCAACAGCACAGATGATCAGAATCCAACTGTTATTTTTGAGGAGAGAATACACCTACACAAGCCAGTTCTCTAAAGACACCCCTCCCCTCACCTGCCTTCCTTTGCAGTTTCCAGAGCCAAGTATCTGTAGCTAGGAATCAAGCCTTGTGGGTTTGAGACTTGATTCTGCCATTGCCTTCTGGGTGACCTTGGGCAAGTGGCTTTTTGTCTGTGGACCTCCTCATCCGTAGAATGGTGGCTGGGATTTGATTAGCCTAGAGGGGTCCTTCTAGGGGTGGGGAGGTAATGTAAATGTGTGGATGAGGAGTGTTAGGGTTTTTGACAAACTGGAGAGTGAAAGCTAAGCCCAACGCATTCTGTTTTAAGAAGCCCACTGAATAGCCAAACAATAGCTAAATTCAGCCCACGCCCTCAGTTTGAAATTCCTTGAGGTCTGTCCTAATGCCTCACTTTGTGACTGACTCCTCCCTAGCCTTTGAAGAGGATCGCTGCTTTGCCCCCTTCCTGGCACATGGCAATGTCACTACAACGGACCCGGAGTACCGCCCAGGGGCACTGGCCACCTTCTCGTGCCTCCCAGGATATGCCCTGGAGCCCCCCGGCCCTCCTAATGCCATTGAATGTGTGGATCCCACAGAACCCCACTGGAACGACACAGAGCCAGCCTGCAAGGGTGAGCCCCCCGCATCCCGGGAATTCCTTCCATTTACGGACTACCCCATGAACTGGGGGTCCTAGGAAGGCCATTCAGGAAGGAGACATACATACCCAAACCTAAGAAACCCAAGCCTTGGGTGAATCCCCATCCCTTCAGAGACTGTTTTCTTAGTTGAATCATTGGTGGGTTTCTTATCAAATTCAGGGGTCACAAACCCAAATTTCTTTAAGACCCAGAACTGGATTTAGGATTGGGTGGGTAGGTTGGAGGGGGGAGGGATTATTAAGAGCAGGGTTGCGGATTGGGTATAACAGGACCTAGATGTGGCAAGAAACAGGATCATAGATAATAGGAAACGTGTGCGTTGCTATGGTGCACACATCAGGAGTGGCGAGGGCTGTGGTGAAATGGAGACTGCATGCTGACCTGGATCCTGAACCTGACACCCCTTCTCCCTTAGCCATGTGTGGAGGGGAGCTGTCAGAGCCAGCTGGTGTGGTCCTCTCTCCGGACTGGCCCCAGAGCTATAGCCCTGGCCAGGACTGCGTGTGGGGCCTGCACGTCCAGGAAGAGAGGCGCATCTTGCTTCAAGTTGAGATGTACGTTTCGGTCCTGCAGAGGTGCAGTGGGTGTGGGTTCAGCGGAGTGTGGTGTGACAATGCACTGGCCTGCATGCTGAGCCTGGTTGGCTCTTCTGTGTCACAGAATTCGGTGGATATATGCTCTGATGAAAGAGATGACTAAGGGTCATAAGGACGGGGTGGGAAACCTATGTTCAAATCTCTTATTAGCCAGGCGACCCTGGACAAGTAAATGGGGTAATGCAGCCTTCCTCAAGGGCTATTGTGAACAATGGGCTCTTTGGGGGTTTCTAAGGCTGCGCCTGGAGCCATTTCCAGGGACCCAGGCCCAAACTGTTGCATCAGCACCCAAGGTGGGTGTGGGGATGGGAAGCTGATTTGGTCTGAGGTGGTCATGTGACTAGAAGAACGAGAGGTGGGCATGGCCTAAAGGCAGGCACTCAAGCGGGGCCCAGAGTTGTGCCGGGCGTCGGGGGCGTCCTGAGTATGGTCGGTGATTGGTCAAAGCTGCAGTTGGGCTGGGCCGCGGATCCACGGTGATGGATGAGGGACTGGAGGGTGGGCGGAGTTAGTATTGAGCAAGTTTGGGGATTGGGAAGCAGGAGATGGGAGGAGCCATAGGGCGGGTGGGACACGGAGGGATTGGCGCAGGAGAAACCTAGGATTGGTCAAAACGGAGGCGGCGTCTGACCTGGGGATCCAGGATCGCCGGCCAGGGCTGGAGAATAGGCGGGGTCGCTAATGAACAGAGCTGGTCATTGGGCAGAACCGGATGGGAGTTGCCGGTCGTAGCCCCGCCCTGTCATCTGGTCCCTCTCCCTGCAGCTTGAATGTGCGCGAAGGGGACACGCTGACACTGTTCGATGGGGATGGTCCCAGCGCCCGAGTCCTGGCCCAGCTGCGGGGACCTCAACCGCGCCGCCGCCTCCTCTCCTCTGGGCCCGACCTCACGCTGCAGTTCCAGGCACCACCCGGGCCCCCAAACCCAGGCCTGGGCCAGGGCTTCGTATTGCACTTCAAAGGTACAACGGATAGGGTCCTGGGATGGGCAGGGAGGCTGCACCGGAGCGAAGTCCCCGACACTGGAGGGCGCCCTGAGTCAGAGGGCAGCCTCCAAACTCACTCTGCCTTCCCTGCAGAGGTCCCGAGGAACGACACCTGCCCCGAGCTGCCACCTCCAGAGTGGGGCTGGAGAACGGCGTCCCACGGGGACCTGATCCGGGGCACAGTGCTCACTTATCAGTGCGAGCCTGGCTATGAGCTGCTGGGCTCCGACATTCTCACCTGCCAGTGGGACCTGTCCTGGAGCGCCGCGCCGCCCGCCTGCCAAAAGAGTGAGCCCCCCGGCCTCGTCCTCTCGTTCTGCGCCCTCGTCCCTACGGCCCCGCCTCCACCCTTTCTTGTCCCTGTTCCCATCTCTGTCCCCATCCTGCCTGGATTACATCCCTTCGCTCTGCATCCTACCCGGGTCTTCTTCAGGCCCCGCCCCTATGCCCTTTGGTTTCCTCTCCCGCTCGGTGCCCCCAAACTGTCCCCGCTGAGTCCCGTTCTCTTTTTCTCCGGGCTGCATCCCTCTCCCGCCGTTCTGGGCTCTGTCCGGGTTTCCTCTGGGTCCTGTCCCTGTCCTCTGCCTGTCTGAGTCCCGCCCCTCCCGGGCTCCACCCTGGTTCACCCTGGGCTCCGCCCCATCAACTCTTGGTCCCACTGTTCCTGCTCTAGGCTCCGCCCTGATCTCTCAGTCCCATCCCTTGACATTGTTAGGGGTCACTTGGCTTGTCAGGGAACTTAGTTTATTCCAAGGCAGTCACTGAAGACCTGTGCTGAGTTAGGGTTACTCTAAGAGGGTTCAGGCCCCTCATTACCCTGACAGAGTGGGAAGCCTGCCACAAGGATGTGGGGTTCCAGGTCTTCTACATTGCCCCTGGTGGGAATGGTGGGACCAATGGGGAGAAGTTTCTGGAAGCCAGATTTGGGGTGGACACAGGAAAACTCTCTAGTTGACACAGCTCCACATCCCTGAAAGGATTCATGGGATGTGAGGCCTGGATGAGGTGGAGGGTTCGGCTCAGGAGCCCCCTGCCTGAGGCTCAGGAGGGAACCTGCCCAAGGCCGCACATTGAACCTGAAGCTAGGCTTAGACCCAAGTCTCTGAATCTCTGTCCAGCACTCTGTGGCTGTGACCCTGTTCTGCTACTCCCTGGCTGAGTGACCAAGAGTCAGTCATTTGGCCACGCTGAGCCATGAGCCCCAAGGGAGACGGCAGTGACATTGACCTCTCAGGATAATCAGGGTTAAATATCATGTCCGTAAAACGTTGAGCAGGGTGCCTGGCACAGGCTTATGTACTGGAGACCCTATGAATATGACTCCACAATGGGGTTGTAGACTCAAATGCCTGCAGGGGCCAGGCAGGCAGCATACATGAGTGAAGTGGGCTGGGCATGATAAGAGGGAGGGGGACAGGAGAGCTGGCCTCTCTAATGACATGCCATGCCAGGTTGACACTGCTGAGATACAGCTGGTATGCTCTGGGATAGTGGTGACATATTTTGAATTTCACCCCAGAATGGGAGCCTGGGGTTGCCTCAATCAACCTGTTTTCTGAAATAAGCCTGAAATATAAAATGCATTGAATGTTTTGGGTTGTTGTTTTTTTTGTTTTTTTTTTTCTGAGACAGTCTCACTCTGTTGCCCTGGCTAGAGTGTTGTGGCATCAGCCTCGCTCACAGCAACCTCAAACTCCTGGGCTCAGGTGATCCTCCTACCTCAGCCTCCCGAGTAGCTGGGACTACAGGCATGCCACCATGCTTGGCTAATTTTTTTTTTCTATTTCTAGCTGGCTGGATAATTCCTTTTCTTTTCTTTTTTTTTAGACAGAGTCTCACTCTGTTGTCTGTTGCCCAGGCTAGAGTGAGTGCCATGGCATCAGACTAGCTCACAGCAACCTCAATCTCCTGTGCTCAAGCGATCCTACTGCCTCAGCCTCCCGAGTAGCTGAGACTATAGGCATGCGCCATCATGCCCGGCTAATTTTTTGTGTATATATATTTTAGCTGATCAATTAATTTCTATTTTTAGTAGAGACAGGGTCTCACTCAGGCTGGTTTCGAACTCCTGACCTTGAGCAATCCGCCTGACTCAGCCTCCCAGAGTGCTAGGATTACAGGTGTGAGCCACTGCGCCCGGCCTGGCTGGCTAATTTCTTTCTGTTTTTAGTAGAGACAGGGTCTTGCTCTTGCTCAGGCTGGTCTCGAACTCCTGACCTCAAGCAATCCTGCCTTTTCCTCCCAGAATGCTAGGATTACAGGAATGAGCCTCTGTGGCTGGCCCTGAATATTAAGTTTTTCCAGTTCATGATCTTCATTCTGAGGAACTGGTGGGCTGTGTTCAGAGGAGATGGTCCAAGGCTCAGGCCTCTCCCAGCTCTGAGCTTCTAGGAGATCTTCGAAGGCCCTAGCTTCCTCTGACCTTGCCCTTCTGCCTCCAGTCATGACTTGCGCCGACCCTGGTGAGATTACCAACGGCCACCGTACCGCCTCAGATGCTGGCTTCCCTGTCGGCTCCCATGTCCAGTACCGCTGTCTGCCTGGGTATAGCCTGGAAGGGGCAGCCATGCTCACCTGCTACAGCCGGGACACAGGCACACCCAAGTGGAGCGACCGGGTCCCCAAATGCGCCTGTAAGTCTGGGGAACACCCTGGTAAGGGTGGCTGGGTAGCCTTGGGGAGAGGCTGTCTGTCCCGTGCTCAGTAGTGCAGCTGGCACGTGACTGGCACACTCCCTGCAGTGAAGTATGAGCCGTGCCTGAACCCCGGGGTTCCAGAGAATGGCTACCAGACGCTGTACAAGCATCACTACCAGGCGGGCGAGTCTCTGCGCTTCTTCTGCTATGAGGGCTTTGAGCTTATCGGCGAGGTCACCATCACCTGTGTGCCCGGCCACCCCTCACAGTGGACCAGCCAGCCCCCACTCTGCAAAGGTGCCTGGGTAGACAAGGCAGGAGGGGCACATCAGTGTCCAGGGAGTGACAGGGCTGGGAAAGTCAGGTAGCAAATTCGAGACCAATGGGGGACCCTGCTGAGCTCTCCATTCTCCTCCCGTGGGCTCCCATCCTCACGGTATGTCCAGAAGTCCTAGGGACACTGGAGGTCATGGAATTACCCTAAAGGGTGTAGTAGAGGGGGCCTTGGTTTGGAAATCTCTTGCCCTCTCTGGATAGGCCTCAGTTTCCCTATCTGACAAACTCTAAGGACTTGTTTGGCTCAGACTGTCCAGGAATCCTGAACTTTTAGGGGTCTGGAGAAGTAGGAAGAAGGCTCTGCCCTGATCACTCCTCTCTTCCCCCCACCACGGGAAAGAGACAGTTCAGGTTGAGCAGAGGGCAGAGCAAACCAGGCAGAGCTGTCTAGCCCCGCCCCCCGGCTCCCGCCCTCCTCCCAGCATCCTCCCCTCCCTGGCTCAGACCCGGTCCCTCCCCCTCTCCCTGCAGTGGCCTATGAGGAGCTCCTGGACAACCGAAAACTGGAAGGTCAGTGAGGGCACAGGTGGAGGCCCAGGCCTGGCCAGGTCGGGAGGGCAAGGCAGAGGCCGGGGGCAGGAGGCCAGGCCCCGGAGGGGTGAGGCCCAGGGTTCAGGGCCCAGGGCAAGAGGCTGGGAGAGCCCAGGACTGGGACCAGCCTTGGCTCACTGGCCTCTCCTCCTCCCCTAGTGACCCAGACTACAGACCCGTCCCGGCAGCTGGAGGGCGGGAACCTCGCCTTGGCCATCCTGCTGCCTTTAGGCCTGGTCATTATCCTCGGCAGTGGCGTTTACATATACTACACCAAGTAAGTACCCTGCTCAGGGAACTGCTGGCCGAGGCGGATGTCTTGCTTGTCTGGCACAGGAGGCTGGGTGAGGGGACTCAGGGGCTCACCTGCTGTAAGCCGCTCATCCCCTCCCTTTCCCAGGCTTCAGGGAAAATCCCTCTTCGGCTTCTCGGGCTCCCACTCCTACAGCCCCATCACTGTGGAGTCAGACTTCAGCAACCCGCTGTATGAAGCTGGGGTGAGCCCTTCCCCTACCCCTGAAGTGCCACATCTCCCTGCTCCCCCAGGACTCCATTACCTTCTCTCAAGGTCTCCGGAATCTCTGTCTTGGGAATTTCAAATTCAGCTTCTTACAGAGGCCATGTCAATGAGCAAAGCAAGCCATGTGTGTACAATAGGGAGTGGTGAGGACTGTGGCTAATTGGAGAACGTGTGCCCCATCAAAAGGATACAGCTCTAATCCACAGTGGATACTTAGGCCCAATTGCCAGATCTTGCAGTTGTTCAAGACAATTCAGAAATTCAGATGTTTATGTCATTTTGAGGCACTATAGAATGAACCAAGCATATCCATTGGCCAGATTCAGCTCCCTTCCAACCCTGTGGCCCCTAGTGCCACACCCCCAGCCCCATAGATCCTTATTGACTTTAAAGTAAGCAATGTTAGTTTTAAAACCCAGGGTCTTTCCCCCTCCTTATGGATTCTCCTCCACCTCCATCCCACTCCAACAACTGATCTGATCTCTCTGTCTTCAGGATACACGAGAGTATGAAGTTTCCATCTGAACCCAAGACTAAGGCTGCAGGACCCAGGACGGCCCTCCCCTCCTCATTCGGGGCAGGGGAGAGTACAGGACCTGGTCTCGGCCTCCTGGCTCCCCTCTTCCCTGGCTGTGTAAATATTCTCCCCATCCCATGAGGAGGCTTTGATGGCCCTGGAGACCCTACAGTAAATAAACCAGCATCCTGTCGCCCGAAGCCGCCTCTTCTCGGTTGCCAAACAAGGGGCCTGCCCCCCACCCTACTGGCTTTTGGACCCTGGGAGGGGAACTCAGCCCCCTGCAACTCTTGAAGCCCCTCCAGCCCAGGGCACCCCTCAAGGACTGCCCCATAGCTCTACTGTTCCCTTGGCCATAAAAGCCCCTCCCCTCCCAGACGCTCTGGCTCTAGGCCTGACTCCTGGGCCGAGGAGGGTCAGAAGAGGGCTGAAGGGAAGAGCTGGAACAAGGCCCTGCCCCCTTCCTGCCCTCTCTCCCCAACCCACAGTCTCTCCACCTTTGCTTCTGGATTCTTGTTTTTGAGCAATAAACAGAAAATCACCACTTGTAACTGGGCTGGTGGGGTGTGGGAAGGTGAGTCACGGAGCGATAGAGATGGTGATGGTGACCTCTCTAGAGACAGGATGGGGAAAGGGGAACGGTCTGGAAAACAGGTACACATCCACAGCCAGACGGAGGGCAATGTTGAGGGGGCTGGCCGGGGGTCCAAAAGCCTGACTTTGGACACAGTCTCCATGATGGACTGACTGGGACAAGACCCTGTGGCTACTGCTGACCCCACCTGGCCTCCATGCAGCTGGGCTCTCCGGGCTTGGGGGGAGCTGGCAGGGGCTCCCCCCACCATCAGTGCTGGGCAGGAGGCAAACAGCTTCCAATTTGTTTCATGACCAGTTTACCTAAAATTCAACCCAATTTTGAGAATTTTTGTGTCTATTCCCTATCTTTGGGGCATTTTAAGCGTATCTGGAGCCTGGCGTGGTGGCTCACGCCTGTAATCCTAGCACTCTGGGAGGCCGAGGCAGGCGGATCGCTCAAGGTCAGGAGTTTGAAGCCAGCCTGAGCAAGAGCGAGACCCTGTCTCTACTATAAATAGAAACAAATTAATTGGCCAACTAAAAATATATACAAAAAATTAGCCAGGCATGATGGTGCATGCCTGTAGTCCCAGCTACTTGGGAGGCTGAGGCAGTAGGATTGCTTGAGCCCAGGAGTTTGAGGTTGCTGTGAGCTAAGCTGATGCCACAGCACTGTAGCCCAAGCAACAAAATGAGACTCTGTCTCAAAAAAAAAAAAAAAAAGACGTATCTGCCATCACATGTCTACCAACTTGAGCTTGTTTTGTATCTCTGTGGATGTCCTTTTCTATTTTACCTACTTTTTTTTTTTTTTTTTTGAGACAGAGTCTCACTTTGTTGTCCAGGCTAGAGTGAGTGCCGTGGCGTCAGCCTAGCTCACAGCAACCTCAAACTCCTGGGCTCGAGCGATCCTTCTGCCTCAGCCTCCCGAGTAGCTGGGACTACAGGCATGCGCCACCATGCCCGGCTAATTTTTTTATATATATATCAGTTGGCCAATTAATTTCTTTCTATTTATAGTAGAGACGGGGTCTCGCTCTTGCTCAGGCTGGTTTTGAACTCCTGACCTTGAGCAATCCGCCTGCCTCGGCCTCCCAAGAGCTAGGATTACAGGCGTGAGCCACAGCGCCCGGCCTTATTTTACCTACTTTTGAACACTATAAGGAATTTCTAGCCTGTTTATCTAAAGAGTCTTTCTCTAAATTAACTGAATTTTAGGTAATTAAAATTTTATATTTAAAGACAAATATTTTAGGACACTTGAAAAAATGTTGAAGTACTCAGAATGCCGTTGAATTTTAAAACGTGAGGCAAACTGATCTTGGTAATAGCTTATATTTTTTAGTATCCTATGCAGACAATGCACTAAGCACTTTGTATGCGTTATATTTTTTAACCCTCACAAGGACCCTGTGAGACAGGGACAATTTATTACTCTCATTTTTCAGATAAGGAAACTGAGCCTCAGAGATGTGAACTGACTTCCCCAGGAAGCTCCAATAAACGCAAAGCTGAGATTCCCATGCACACTCCACAAAGCGCACTGTACCGCTTTCTGGCTGGTGTGCCCATAGGCACAAGGTCACAACTCAGGGTCCTCAGTACCGACAGGGGTGGCAAAGGTGGCTCCTCAGAAGCAAGAGTGGGCCTTCCCTGATGCCAAAGACCTAGGCCTTAAGGTATTAGAGTTTGGCTAGGAGGCTGGGTTTGGATCCATCGACCTCTGCCAACAGGCTGACAGATAACTGCCTGAATTAAAATATTAATAATATGCCCACACCCAGCATCCACGTCTGGGAAAAAAAAAAAAAAAAGGCTCCCCTCCTCCCACACCTCCACACCAGAAAAGCCACACCAGAGCACTGCCTGAGTCGGTGAGAGGGGAGGATCCCTGCCTCTTTATTGACGCCTTTACTCCTGGCGGTGTCCTTGCTGGCTGAGGGTGGAGAGTGGTGTGATGGTTCCAGAACACTTTGGAGGCTTCAGGGTGATGCTGCCCATGACCAGAAGTCCCCCCCAAAACTGGTGTTTAACGAGTTGCAAAAGAGTTTTGAAGAATGCTCTAGGGACAAAATGGGAGAGGACATGAGAGACCAAGAGTAACACCAAAGAGGGTTGGGCTCATCCTCCAGATGTCAAGCTATTAGGAAGAGCTCCCCAGCAGAGATTAAGAGCCTTTTGACTCTGTAGACCCAAGGCTCACATTCTTTTATCCCTCCATCCTCCACCCACCCATCCAAGCCCTGTCCAACAGTCATGCATTCATCATCCACCATTCACCATCTATCCATTCACCCATATATCTACCCATCCACCCACCTTCTTCTATCCATTCATCCACACATCTATCCATCACTTCCCATCCATCTGCCCATCCATCTATCCCTTATCCATCCACCCACCCACTCACCTCTCTTCCATTTAATTGCTCACCCCCCATTTAAACGTCTTGAGCACAAGGACTCTATTTTTTTTCCACAGTGACACTCCACCCCTAGTGCAATGTTGACACACTGTGCTTAATACATTTTCAGTGAATTTATCCATTTATTCCCCCATTTACCTACCATCTCATCCACTCACCCATTCCCCCACTCAACATTTTTGACCAGCTACAATGTCCTACCATTCAAGATCTGTAGGCTTCCACATTCTTTCTTAAGGAAGGAAAAGTCCTGGGGTCTGGCAGGTGGATGAGGGGAAGGTGTTAACTCAGGATGAAATCCTCAATCCATTACTATTTGGGAAAGGGGGGAAAACGTACTGGATGGACAGACAAAGCCCTCACAGAGAGCATCCTGATAGATCGGGTGGTGGGAAGCAACCTGTATGATGCTATCAAGCTGATAGCATATTAGTGAGGCTGAGGCAGGAGGATCGTTTGAGCTCAGGAGTTCAAGACCAGCCTGAGCAAGAGTGAGACTCTGTATTTACTAAAAAAATAGAAAGAAATTAGCTGGACAACTAAAAATATATGGCAAAAATTAGCTGGGCATGGTGGCGCATGCCTGTAGTCCCAGCTACTTGGAAGACTGAGGCAGAAGGATCACTTGAGCTCAGGAATTTGAGGTTGCTGTGAGCTAGGCTGACGCCACGGCACACTACTTAGGGCTACAGAGCCAGACTCTGTCTCAAAAAAAAAAAAAAAAAAAAAGTAGCAGATTAGCTATTACGGCCCAGGCTTTTCTGCTACTTCAAGCTGCTTCTAATACCAAAACCCCATTGGGAGAGTTCAAATGTGCCAAAGGCACTAGAATGTCAGCTCCTTGAGGACAAGTACAGTGGTTTATTCTCAACTGTATTACAGTGGCACAAATCAGAGAAATGCCTATCCAACTAGTCCCAGGGCTTGATGGACCTGGCATGTAATAGACACTCGGTAAACATTTGCTGACTGTCAGTTTCTTCTCTGCCTTCGTGAACCCCTCTCTCCTCCTCTGCCAGCCTCTCACATGGAGAGGTTCTCTGGGGCTCCATCCTCAGCTTTCTGTTCCTGCTCACTCTATACAAACCCGCCCCCATGGGGCAACCACACACCTACTCTTCAACTGTCAGCGCCGCCCTGCTAACCTCCAGATCAGCTCTCTCTCACCAGTCCAGGCCTCTCCCTTGTTTCAAACCCGTATTTCCAACTGCTACAGGGTATTTCCACCTGGAGTTCCCATGAGCACCTCAAACCCAATGTGTCCAAAGGCAAGAGTATGCCTGCCACATGCCAGGAAGAATGAGAAGGTGGGTGTGGAGGAGTGGGGGAAACAGGAGAGCAGTTACAGACAATGAGAGCAGGGAGACAGTGGGCTGGGGACAGGAGGTGACCATATAGGGCCCTGTAAACCACTGAAGGACTTTGCCCTTTACTCTGAAATGGGAAGCAATTGTAGAGCTCTGAGCAGAAACAGGACATGATCAGACTTTGATTCTGCAGTCAGAAACCTGGCAGTCTTATGACTCCTTTCTCCCTCCTGCCATTTCTACTGTGTTTCCCCCAAAATAAGACAGGGTCTTATATTTATTTTTCCTCAAGAAGACACCCTAGGGCTTATTTTCAGGGGATGTGTTATTTTTTTTAAGTATGGTACAACAATCTACATTTATTCAAACATAGTTAAGTCATCTTCTTCTGGAACATCATTGTAACTCTCCAAACCCCGAATTCCATTCTGAATTTCTTGCGACTCTATTTCCTTTAGAACCATTGGCCCCAATCTCTCATGTAGGGCAATAGAGCTCTCATGGGGAAGATGAGAAGGGCTGCTCATCTTCTTTACTGATCCGTCACGAAATGCGTGGGTTGTGCAGTACACTGCGTAGCCACGCCCATCACTAGGTCTTATTTTCAGGGTAGGGCTTATATTGCACAAATAATTAGAAATCCTGCTAGGGCTTATTTTATGGGTAGGTTGTTTTTTTTTTTTTTTTTTGAGACAGAGTCTCGCTTTGATGCCCAGGCTAGTGTGAATGCCGTGGCATCAGCCTAGCTCACAGCAACCTCAAACTCCTGGGCATAAGCAATCCTTCTGCCTCAGCCTCCCAAGTAGCTAGGACTACAGGCATGCACCACCATGTCCAGCTAATTTTTTCTATATATATTAGAATTAATTTCTTTCTATTTATAGTAGAGGTGAGGTCTCGCTCTTGCTCAGGCTGGTTTCGAACTCCTGACCTCAAGCAATCCACCCGCCTTGGCCTCCCAGAGTGCTAGGATTACAGGTGTGAGCCACAGCGTCCAGCCTGGGTAGGTCTTATTTTCAGGGAAACATGGTATCAACTACCAAACTTGTCAATCTTCCTGGTCTTTTTCTCTTATGTACCCCCTCTACTATTACTGTGATAACCTAGGACCTAATCGTCTCTAGCTTGGTCTCTTTGAAATAATTTCTAACCAGCCTCCAGAGTCTGCCCTTTCCAGGTCACTGTCTTTACTTGCCACAAAAGTGACTGACCTAAAATTCCAACCACCCTGGCTCAAACTCTCCAATGGCTCCTTACCTGTAGGGAGATGTCCAAGGATCTTAAGAAGGCACACATAGTGGTCTGTCGTGGTCAGTCTCTGCCTACCTTGCCTACCAGCTCCAGCAGCTAAACTGATTTCAGTCCCACCTCTCCCTGTCCTACACACACATACACACACACACACACACTCACACACACTCACACACACAGGTTCACACTTTCTCTGTAGAGACTCATCTCTGCCTTTGCTCATGCAACCCCTACTGCCTGGATCCCCCTGCCAGCCCTTTCTTTCTGGAAAATTCTTTCTTTAGGTGTCACCTTCTTCAAGAAGTTCCATGATTCCTTTCCTTCCTTTCACATTCTTTTATCCTTCCATCTTCCATTCACCCATCCAACCCCTGTCCCCCACTCATCCATTCATCATCCACCATTCCCCATCTATCCATTCATCCATATATCTACCCATCCATTTATCTACCCTTCCTGTCCCAATTGAGGCTGGGATAAGTATTCTTCTCATTGTTCCCATTTCTATCATGGGCACGTGTCCATATTATCTTGTAATTGGCCATTGACTTGTCTGTCCCCACACTGAACTGTGAGGTCTTCAAGCGTTGAGACTGTATCATTTATTACTGTGTCCCAAGCTCCTAAGACAGGGACTGACACATAGTACAAACTTGAAAGGTTTGGTTACCACTGAGTGGCCTTGTCATCCATGGATCCTGTACATACCTTTTCACGAGAGGAGGGCAGAAGGTGTCCCTTGGTGCGGGTACGGTTTCGGTCGGAGCTGGAGATGGCAGAAGAGAGGAGAGAGGGCTGAGAACTCTGAATTTGAGCGTCAGGGCAGAATAGAATACAACTGCATGGTTCAAAATTCCCCCTACCCTGCTAGCATGTTGTCAAACCCTTGCTCTCTCCCCTACAGGCTTCTCATCTTTCTCCCGGGACAAAGGGCATAACCCATGAAGTCTCACTCACCGGGTGTCTGTGGCTCGGGTCTTGGTGAAGAACCCTGGAAGCGGAGGCCCCAGTCAGAGAAATGACTATCCCCATGGCAGAAAGAGATGTGGCTGGAGCGGGAAGGGCTGAGGGGATTCCTGGCCAGCAGTGAGGACTAGGTGCTGGGTTAGTGGGTGGGGGCTCTGCGTGGGGTTCAGGACTGGCCATGGGTTAGGTTGCTGGGCCCAGATTCCTGGACAGGTCAGCTAGGGTTAGAAGTGGGCCAGGGACGGGAATTAGGCACATGGGAGGGTCTCTTGACACAGTGGTCCTGAGGTGGGGGTCACCATGTCTGGACATCTGAGTCCCTTGGTCTTGTGTCTGCTTTTCCTTAATGGGCACAGGGTTCACATGGCGGCGGGCCCAAAACAAGGCCTCATCTGCAAGTTCAGTGCTGATCCGGGTCAGGAATTCCTCAGAACGAGATACTGAAACCTTCTGTGAAAGGAAAAGTCAGAGGGGCTCAGCCTGGGACCTGCTACATGCGGATCCTGGGGCTGGAAGTTTCCAGGCAGGGAGCTCTGGCTCCAAAGAGCCCTAGTATTAGAGGGTTGAGTCTTGAAATTTAGCTAGAAGGCCCTGGACCTGAGTTGGGGGGAGGGGAGGGCAGTCTTTGGGTCCTCATGGCCTAGTGCTGAGGGCTATGGGTCTGGGCCTAAGGGCTCAAGGTTTAGGGTAGATTGCAGCTCTGCCCTGGGATTGGGCGCCTCTGCCTAGGAGCTCCTCATTTGATTACGCTCCCTCCTCTAGAGCTCCCCTTCGGTTCTCACCCGACCTCCACTGGAGGAGGATACAGCTTGAGGCTGCCAGCTGCCCTTTTTCTCCTCATTCCTGGTAGATGTGGATGCCATGCCCCTGGGAACAGTCAAAGCCTGTGTCAGGCTGAGAAACCAGCCCACATCCTCCCAGAACCCATCCCCAGGCCCAGATTTAAACAAGGCTTTTAGATGAAATATCCCGCTGTCTCTGTTCTCTTTCTGGTGGGGGGGAAATTGTTGGCTCACATCTTCGAGAGGGAGGGGGAACCCCCACATCCACCTCTCCCCATTTCACCCTGAGGGCCCTCCTTCTTCCCTCCCAGGGCCCTTCCCAAGCCAAGGCAGCCGACTTGCCGCCCAGACCTGGCAGATGGGTTGAAATCTTGGGCTACTTGGCAAGGTGGGAGATGAGGAGGTCTAAGGGGCCCCGTTACAGGTCGCGGGGGACGGGGAGTGGGAGCTGGGGAGAAAGGCAAGGAAAAGGGGGAGGCGGTGCGGCGCGCTACCCGCTACCCGGAGCTATAAAAACCTTGCTATTTGTGGATGTTCCACAGCCCCGTTGCTAGGAGATTAGGGGTTCTAGAACTAAAGACTGGAGCATTATCCCTAGCGTGCCCCGTTCGCTCCTCCGACCTCTGTACCCCTCCAGGTCGCTTCTTGGGGGGCACTGAGCCAAGTGCCAGAAGCTAGAGAAGTCTGGGAAGATTACGTAGGCTGGAGCCTGGGACCTGATCCTCCCGCCACTAGGGGAACACAGGCAGCAACCGCGCCCTGGGCCGCTCTCCGGCCCCTCTAGCCGGCGCTTCGCAGCCTGGGGCTGGCAAGGGCAAAGGAGGCCGGCGACTTAGGGGGCGGGGACAAGAGCCGTGGACTGTACTAAATAGCCTCGGCTCTCGGGGATGCAAAGACTCAGGAGGGCAGAATCTTATCGCCTTATCTTTGTCTCCAGGAAGTCAGACCCTCCGTGAAAAGGAAAGCAGAGACTCACTCTTCTAGGTCTCTTTCTCTTTTGCTCTTTCCGTTTCGTTTCCTTCGTTGCTCGGCGTCGATCGTTGCTCGGCGTCGATCGTTCTCCCTCCCTCTGTGCTTGGTACGAGCCGACGGAAAGGGGCGGAGGGAGGAAAAGGAAGAGGAAGCGGGCAGGTCTTAAAGGGGCCGCAGCCATTTTTAAAGCTGCTTTTTCCTTTCTCCAATTTTGCCTGGACGATCGCAGAAGAGCAGGTGCCCGGAAGCCAAGCCCAGCTGGAGCAGCAGGACCGCTGCTGGGAGGCGGGAGCTCCCGCTGGACGGGCGGCGGGGAGGGGCTGCCCGCTGGAAGGGCGGGGTGTGCGCACCCTTCGCCCCGTGCATATCTCGGTCGGCCAATGCTCCGGCCCTCTGCGAGCTTGAACATCTGGGGCCCGGCCGGGGCAGCGGCGTACAGTGCGCAGGTGGCGCGGCGGCGGGAGGGTGAGGCTGCACAGCGGCGCTGGGACGGCGCTGGCACTTCCAGAGCGGGCCCGGGGTGGCAAGGTGGTGGCCGCGATGGCAGGCGAAAATATCTTCCTGTTCGTGCCTAACCTCATCGGTGAGTGCTGCCCGCGTCTCAGGGCCGGAGGGGAGAGCAAGGGGCCTTGGCGGGCTCCCTGATCCCGCCCTGTCTCCCCGCATCCCATTCTAAGGTTATGCCCGGATTGTCTTCGCCATCATTTCTTTCTACTTCATGCCCTGCTGCCCCCTCACGGCCTCCTCCTTCTACCTGCTCAGCTGCCTTCTGGACGCTTTCGATGGACATGCTGCTCGAGCCCTTAATCAAGGTGACAGACACCCCCTCCCAGCCAGCCTTGGGGTCCAGAAACCCTCTGCCCCCTTTTCCTGCCTTCTCAGGACCTCAGAGGCACAGGGCTGTCATTCCCATCTCTATAGAAAGCAGAACAGAATGGCCTGGTTTTGTAGCAGAAGGCATTAAAGCTCGCTTTTGAGAATACATTGCTTGGGAGGGGTGTGGGTTAGCCAAACTGGACATGGCTGTGGCACTGCTGGAGGTCTCTTTGAATAAAAATCTATTCAACAGGTGTTTACTGGGGACCTACTGTGTGCCCAGCACAAGCATTAGGGATTCTAGAAGGCATGTTCAAAGGGAGCATGGAGAGGGAATGGAGATGGCTTCTAGAGGGTTGACTGATTCTTTAATTTGTCCTCATGACCCACCTCTAAGACTTCTCCTAAGACATCAAGCCTCTTTGTCTTACCCTGGAGCCTTGGTTCTGGGGTTGTGATCAATTGTGGAGATAGTTTTCCTACCCCATCCCCCTACACTGTTCCCTCCACACTCTCATGCCATCTCATTTCATATCATGGTGACCCTGGCCCTATGCACATGCACATTTTGAGTCTTTTTTTAGATTCTGCATCAGAGCAATGTGCCAGATATGAGCACCTGTCCAGCACCCACTGTTCCCTAGCAGCCCCTTCCCACCTAACAGTCCCTGTTTTTTCAGGAACTCGGTTTGGAGCCATGCTGGACATGCTAACGGACCGCTGCTCCACCATGTGTCTGTTGGTCAACCTGGCCCTTCTGTACCCTCGAGCCACACTTCTCTTCCAGCTCAGTATGAGCTTGGATGTCGCCAGTCACTGGCTGCACCTGCACAGGTCTGCTGCAATTCTGGGGGTATTGACCAGTTAGAGACACTACAGTAAGGGGGAGGGGTGAGAATGGATGGAAGGGTGTCTGGGTGGTTTCAGGGGTCTTGGGAGGTCTCCTTTTTAGCTCCACTTTGTTGAAAGACCCTGGGCAAATCCTGTCCATCTCTGATGAGCTCCAGTCTTTTTTTTTTTTTTTTTTTTTTTTGAGACAGAGTCTTGCTCTGTTGCTTGGGCTAGAGTGCCATGGCATCAGGCTAGCTCACAGCAACCTCAAACTCCTGGACTCAAGCAATCCTTCTGCCTCAGCCTCCCAAGTAGCTGGGACTGTATATTTTTATTTGTCCAGCTAATTTCTTTCTATTTTTAGTAGAGACAGGTGTCTATTGCTCAGGCTGATCTTGAACTCCTGACCTTGAACTATCCTCCTGCCTCAGCCTATTAAAGGCGTGAGCCGCCATGCCCAGCCAACCTTCAGTCATGGTTACGGTTGGATTAAGCAATTCCTAAGACCCTTCTGGCTGGATATTCTAGGATTCCAAATGAGTGACAGCACATAGCAAGGGGCATGGGGGCTTCTGAATATGGCGTTTGAATGCTGACTCTGCCCCCAGCTAGGTAACCCTGTGGCTTTCAGCAAAATACTAGTCCTCAGCTGTGCCCCAGTAGGGGCGATCCCAGCACCTGCCACACAGGGCTGGCGTGAGGATCAGGTGGATGGCAGTGGTCAGGAACGCTCATAGACCCCCGTTTCCTCCCCAAGTTCTGTGGTCCGGGGCAGTGAGAGTCACAAGATGATCGACCTTTCTGGGAATCCGGTGCTTCGGATCTACTACACCTCGAGGGTGAGCATTTCCTGCCCCGCCCTCATCCATTCAGCTTATGGGAAGTCCTGGGCATGGGGGAGGAGGACTGGTGGGGAGGGCTGTGAGTTGCTCCAGGCAGCAAGTGGGAATAGGTCCCTGTGCACCCAGGGAGGAGGAACTGAGTGGCTGGAGGGAGAAGGGAGGGAGGACGAGAGAAGCCAGAGAGGTCTGCAGGACCAGTGTGAGCTCTATTCCGGGAGCATAGGCAGCCTCTGAAAGGACTTTAAAAAGAAATAATTTGCTGAGACACACCTCTGCCCCCGCTTGATGGTGGCGGGTCTCATGGGGGTGGGGTGGCACGCCACCCTGTCTCTTGCTTAAGCAGCCTTTTGCTGTGTATGCAGCCTGCTCTGTTCACCCTGTGTGCTGGAAACGAGCTCTTCTACTGCCTCCTCTACCTGTTGCATTTCTCCGAGGGACCTTTAGGTAGGCGATGAGGGATGGCCAGGAGGGTGGGAGGGGGTTCTGGCCTGCCGGGGGGGAAATGAAGGTCCCCTCCCCTGGGCCCCTCACTTCCCTGTTGCCTTCCCTGCAGTTGGCTCCGTGGGCCTTTTCCGAATGGGCCTCTGGATCACTGCCCCCATCACCTTGCTCAAGTCCATCATCAGCGTCATCCACCTGATCACAGCCGCCCGCAACATGGCTGCCCTGGACATGGCAGACCGTGCCAAGAAGAAGTGACCCTGGAACCATTGGTCCCTGGCTGCCCACCTGCCCTGGGAGTCTCACTGCGCCACACGGCTCCCTTGCTCCTCGTAGGAGGTCCCAGTCTCAACATATTCCTAATGTGTTGTCCAGCCTGCTGGGATGCGGGTCAGCCTCTCTTGGGTGATGTCACATTCTCTGTAATCCCAAGGACCAGTCCCATCCCTGGGGTCCTCAAGGACTTTGGCTTCAAATCAGGATGGGTGCTCAGGAGGCCCTGCCCCTATAGGTAGTGCTCCTTGGGTGCCAGGAGGCCAGTCTGAGGACCAGGCACTGTCCCATCCTGCTGGCTCAGCCAGACCATGGCGTCTGGCTTGGCCTGAGTTTTAGGGACACTTGAGTAAGGGAAATAGTGTAGGGGCCAGATTTCCCCAAAGGCAGAGGAGTCAGACTTCTGCCCCTGGCTCGAGGAAGCCTGAGAGGGAAGGGGCAATCTGGATCCTTCCCTGTTGCGGTCTCCTCTGTCCTGTCTACCCTGGCCCTGGAAGCCTCAGTAATAAAGGCAGGCGCTTCATTATTCTGGACTCAGTTTCCTTTTGGATCAGGTCCTGGGTTGAATGGAGCTTGGGAGAAAGGGAAGATCCATCTGGATGCTTTTCCTCTAGTTGTTTGCTGTCTCACTTCTTCCTGTCACTACACGGTGACCTCAGAGGATTTCGTGCCACCCACCTGCTTTATGTCACTGGCTGTCTACATTTATTTGTATTCTTAATATTTTCTACCCCCACTAGAATGTAAACTCCATGAGCACACAGACTTTTCTTGTTTCCTTCTCTATCCTAGAATGAAGACCAGCCTTAACCTGGCATATCTGCTTAATAAATATTTATGAAAAGATCAGCTGGTTTCTCAACATGTAGTCCCTTAGACCACCTGGAGAATATTTCTTAAAAATGCACTGTCATTGGGGGGCAAGGGCAATATACGTAACCTTAACATTTGTACCCCAATAATATGCTGAAAAAAATAAATAAATGTTAAGAAAAAATGCACCTTCCTGGACCCTGTACCAGACCTTCAGAGTCAGAATCTCTAGGGATGGCCCAGAAGTCTGCAATTTTAATAAAGTCCAGGTGACTCTCCCTCCCAATGACGTTGAGAATCACTCTTCCTTCTTTGTGGCGTTGTTCTGGGCATCTGTCCTTAATAGCACCCCTACCACCTGAGCTTTTGAAACTACAGTGTGTTGGGTTTACCATATGCCAGACCCTGTGCCGGGGGCTATTTTGCAGATGTTACTCATTTTATCCTCATAATAGCCAAGAGGCACTCATGTCCAGGAGAGCTAAAATTGATCAGATGTGTACTGAGCCTCAACTCCTGCGCTAGGCCCAGGGGATTCAGTAAGAACTGGGCAGCTGGCTTCCCAGCCCCTTGGAGATAATGAGGTTGGCGAGGAGACAGAGGGAGACGGTAAGAGCATAATGACACACTTACGAAGGTGCTTGTTGGGGAGTGGGAGTAGAAGATGCCACAGCATCTTAAGTTTTGGTGAAGGGGTGGGCATCTCAAATGGAAGGTTGGTAGGGATTGGGAGGAAGAGGTCAGTGCAGAGGAGAGGACTGACTTGGCTGAGGGAACAGCACACAAAGGCAAGGAGGCCAGAGAGCACCCTGGGCAGTTGTAGCAATTGAAATAGATCTAGATTGATGTGGCTGGAACATCTAGTGCTGGGGAATTGCAGGGTAGAGAGCTGGTGGGAGATGAGGCAGAAGAAACCAGCTGGGGTGGTATTTGGACTCTATGTTTCTACATTTGAAGATTCAATTTTAGCCTGGCTCGGTGGCTTGTGCCTGTAACCCCATCTATTTGGGAGGCCAAGGCAAGAGGATCACTTGAGGCCAGGAGTTCAAGATGAGCCTGGGCAACATTGCGAGACCTAGACCTCGTCTC